ATATTGTTGTAAAATTGACCAATTAAGGCTATGAGAACAAGAGTGGGCTAACCAACATTTTGTTGATAAATTGAGTTATATATTGCAATTACTTCTAACGCCCTAAAGTTTTAAAGCAAAACCGGTCTAACCAACATTTTCGTATAACATAAATCTCTCCAGTAAGGTGATTTTGCATTATCGAAAACAACAAAAATTTGAAAACGCGAATGGGCTAACCCACGAAGTTGTGGAATAGACCAAAATTGTTTAATATATAAATACGTAAAAGAATGCAAGAGTGGGCTAACCATCATCTCTGTAGGATAGACCGGTTTTAGCTGCTAATCAAGGGTACGTATCACACAATCTAACCTTCCAGTGAATAGATGTTTGTGCTAAGGTGAAAATTAGACTGTGTAGTGCAGTCCATTTCTTTTTAATCGTATCCCCTCTTTGCGTTCAAGATGCGCTGAAGAATTGAAGAATTTTTATCGTCTTGCAACTAGAAGCAACATCTTGTTTGATTTTGTAATAAATGATTAAGCCAATTGCTATCAGATATTTTTATGGACCATCTAGAAACAAAGATTTTAAAACATCCCATATTTAAACAGTTTTTGTAGTGGTAGAGATACATAGATGATGTACTGATATGTTACAGGAACTAACAGACAACTTGACCAATTCTGGTCGTATATTAATTGACTCCATAGTCATATTGAATTTATAATAGAAACAGAATAGAATCAATACATAAATTCTCTAGATTTTAAATTACCAGACTAAAAAACAAACATAAGTTCTCAGTATTTCATAAACCTATCCACACTTACACAACTATACACAATTCATCATCCCAGCCTACACAACATAAATTAGCTGACCACCATAGCATGTTACATAGATTAATAGAAATTCCACACAGAAAAGCACACAATAAATAAAATTTTATATCAGAAACTACATAAGAAAACCCTGAAATTAGTATTTCCAGTACCAGAGAAAAAATTCGGCACCTTCTGCTCGATTACATACACAGGCAAGATGTCAACTAAAATAGCCAAGCACATAAAAAAGAAAGTAATAATACCAACTTTGACAACAAACAACAACTTAGGCAAATTACTTAGAGCCAAAAGAAAAAAATTACACAGCGGTGTATACCGCTTACATACAAAACTTACATCGGTCAAACTGGTAGAACTTTTATCAGACGTATGGTAAAACATAAAAAGGCTTTTAATAATAGAAAAACAGAATCTACGTACGCACTTCATCTTCTAGACCATAATTATTATTGATAAATTTGAAATTCATCACATTCCAAATAAAGGAGTAAAGCTATCTTTATTAGAATTTATGGAAATAAACAAATTTAAAAGTATAGACATAATTCTGAATGACCAACGTGAGACAAATAGTTCCTTTCTTCTTAACTTATTCAGTTAAAGACTATAAAGTGCAAACACATACCAAAAATAGATCACTTGAGAAAGGCAATTTGGTCGAAATAGCTGTAGTGATAATAATTTAAAATAAAATTATTTGTGGAAGTATTGAAAACAAAAGTTAGATATTTTTTAAAACAACGAATCTCTTAAAAGAGCTCTCTGGTATAACTTTTGGGAAGACAGATAAATCTCAAAAGATAGAAAATACCATAAAAATGACAGCAAAAACTTGTTATCATTAAAAGCTCTTTCTTTGAAATTATGACGGAATCAAATAACTAATTCTGATGCCTGGTTGCACCAACAGATCTTAAGGTCCAGCTTAGCCCAGCTCCGCTTATATCTAGGGCCGCCTTAACTCTCACTTATACTGCACCATTATTTTCGATTCTTATCTAAGCACGTCTTAACAGAGACAAAATTTAAGATGAAATTTACGTGGCAACCATGTAACTTGTCAATTATTGAGTGAGGAAAAGAGTCTTAAGATCTTCATGTGCTAGTTTAAATAAGTATATTTTTTTATTGCTCTGTCATATGTTAACAACAAAAAGGCATTAAGTATACATTACAGTAAATGATCATTTACTTTTCTTGTACCTTTTTTTTTGGAATAGGTCACTGCCTATCTCACTTATTTATTTTAGAGTGTAATAGATACAGGTAAAAATAAAAAAAATCTCTATCTGTATTCCACAACACAAATGTCAATTTTTTCAGGTTACATCGCTCATCTTAACTTAGAGAGCAACTCTAGCTAAGAATAACGGGGACTTAAGATTAGGATCGGTCTAAGCTGAAAATTGATCTAAGACTCAATGGTGCAAGGCTTATGTTTCGTAAGCTGAGCTTAAGGCACGTCTTAAGGTTAAGATATTTTGGTGCCACCAGGCATAAATCATATAGAGATAATACTTTTGAATTTTCATGATGAATTTTTATTAAAATATTAAAAAGGCAATTACTCTACACACTCTTCAACATACGCAATATACAATAAGCTAATTGGCTGCAGTACGACCAAAAAAAGGTAGGTAGGCATTATCAAAATAAATCAGCGTTATTTAGGATTTTATTAATAAATGCACATTAAATTCTGCATTTTGCACTATAACAAGAAAGTTTTTGCTTGTTACAAGTAACATTAAAAACAAAAATAACATAATATATCAACTGATACCATATTTCATGTTCATAAATTTTTGTCAAAATAATTTGAATAAAATTCCTAATTAAAAGTGTCGTTTCCAGCATTTCATGAAAATGACCGTCATCAGTAAATAATCCGATGCCAAATATTTATTTTACATACAATTTACATTAAACCCTAAATTTAATATACATTTATTTAAAACATATATTTTACAAAAGTATAGCTAGCTAATTTTTGCATACGTAATATAAAATTGTTACAAACATTATAAAACTAATTTTATTTAGCGGATGGTAATAATGCAGTAGGGAAAATGTAGATTGATTATTAATTACAAACTATTAAATAATATAAATATACACAAAAGGAATAAAAATAATATTAATACACAGGGTTGGCCACTCAAAAGAGTTCACCTTGATATTTGGCAATATTCACTCATTTAATTACTATTTAACTGGGAATAAGCCACAATTAAAGATTAAAATACGTTTATTGACGTTTCAAGTTCCACTTCGAAAATCGTTCTCAAAATACAAACAGGAAATTAAACAAATTTTGTTTTTTGTTACATAGTGAAAAATTCTTCTAATAATTTAATTTTATCTGATTCATTTATATTGACAATTCAGACATACATTATGCATTTTAAAGTAGACGACTTTAAAATGATATTGTCAATATTGTTGAGTTGCGCTCCTGGGACGACTTTACTTATAAGATAGTTCATTCGATTACATGAAATCAACTTTAACTTGAGAATATCCGGCAGAAAAAAATCATAGCATATAATTCGTCTTTAAAAAGACAAACACATGACATGATGACAGTAAAATTCTCCTGTTAGTGATTCCATAAGAAATTATGAGGGAAAAACCAGGAAAAAAAACCTCATAATACTATCCCGACATGGTGAGTATTTGTTCGTGAATTTAGTTTACCTTCAATAAACACCAAAATTCTGATTTTATATGTTTCGTTATTTAAAAAACATAAATGATGTATCCTCTATATGTTACTGACTTACTTATACTGGTATGTTCTTATTAATAACTTCCTCTTTCAATATTCGTAACCAGATCCTACTACATTCTGCCGAGGAATTTGCGACACAATTAGCCTAATTTAGCATAATTAGAGCCGCTTCTTTGATTTTTGTTTTTTTACCATCCGTTTCTCTTAGGACTACATTTGAATTATTCCATTGAACCCTATGTTCATTATCCCATGCGTGTTTACATATTTGAGATCTATCAAATTCTCAATTTTTAATATAAGGTTGATGTTCACTTATTCTAACATTTAATGGCCTTGATGTTTCACCTAAATAAAATTGATCGCATTCACAAGGTATTTTATAAATGCAATTATTTGTCCTTTCTTGTTCATTGTTAGGTTTGGTATTGGACAAAATAGATCTCAACGTGTTTGTTGTTTTGAATGTTGTTGAAATGTTGAATTTATTTCCTATCCTTTTTATTTTTTCTGATAATCCCTTTATGTACGGTATTGTTATTTTCCTCGTATTATGCTGTAGGATCTCATTATAACTTGTTGTGTTCTATTCGATCGATTGTTAAAAATTCCTTATTTATAAACGATAAAGGATAATCATTTTTTAATAAATCAGATGTTAACAAATGTTTCTCCTCCAAGAACGAATTTTCGTTAGAACAAGTAATTTTGGCTCTATCGTATAAGGATTAAATTATTCCCTTTTTTACATTAATATTGTGATTTGATTTGAAATTTAAAAATCTATTGTTGTGTGTTGGTATCTCATTTAAAATGACACAAGAAAATAGCTTCAGAACAATATTCACTCATTTTGTAAAAATTTCAAAAAATTTCGATTTTTTTTTAAAATAGTCAATATTTAAAGTTTAAACAAGTTAAGTGAAGCTATAAATTCAAATAACCAATTTTGGAAGAATAAAGCTATACCAGACTACCCATTAGCATATACAGACATGCACAAAAAATCAAAAAATTTAATGCGATACAAAATAAATCCTAAATATGAAATAGAAAGAAAAATTATTTTATATCTATTACAATTGAGAGCCTACAATATGAAAAATATGAAATTGACTCTAATGAAATGTTTTTAGCAAAATATGGTGAAATATATAGTAATTATACCTATAGATATACAGATGGATCTATCTACCCACAAACAAACCAATCAGGATATGGAATTTATATACCACAGATTAATTAAAATTTTTTATCAAGACTCCATAATTACAAACAAGACTGTACAACTAAAATGGTAGCTATCTCTGTGGGCATTGAAAACGAGATTATGAAATCAGTTATCTTTGTGGACTCAAAAACTGCTTTATCCAAAATTTCCAGTCCCAAATGGATTATGTAACCATAATGACCAAAAACTATTAGTAGAAGCTAATAATATGGGATTCTCAATAGGAATAGAATGGGTACCTGGACATAAGGGGATTAAAGGTAATGAGATAGCTGATAGGTTTGCGAATATTGGGAGCGAATTAATAGTACCATATGATATAAAAAATATTAGTACATATATCTTTTGCGTTACAAAAAAGACATTTTAACACAATTCTACAATTAATAGCATTCCCAAATTAAAAATAAAGATCCAAACTATTGCAGATTGTAGTGTTGTTTCCCCATAAAACTATGGTATCGTATGGCAAACGTGGGTATATGGACAGAAATACTATAATAAATATTAACTGTCTACGTAGTGGACATTGCAAAACTCCTTGCTATATCTACAAAATAGATAAAACAGAAACACCGATATGTGAATGCGGAACCATTGGAACAGTGATCCATATCGTCTTTGGATGTCCCATAAACAAACACAAAAATATTGTTTTGTATTTAGAACTATTAAAAGCAGGAATAGAGAGTCTAATATCTTTACATATAATTCTATATAAACCCTCTGACAAAGAGATAAACCTAATTAATAAATCCATCTATATTTTTTTTTTCGAATCGATCCATAAAAAAAATTTTTCTACTTGTCAAAATTTAAAAAAATATTAAAATAAATTTAGAAAATACTGGAAATATCCTAACACAGAAAAGTTTACGTCCTTAAAATCCTGAATTATAACCGAAGGTAGCATTAGCCATAAACCTAATGTGACAATGTTTGGAAGCTACCCCCAACCGAGAAAAGTCTAATCTTACCTTAAATGAAGAAGATAAACAAATGGAAAAGGTGATCTTTCAGTATCACCCAGTCAGTCACTTCGTCAGTCACTGTCAGTCACTCCGGTTCTTCTCCTGATGTCTTCGTTGGTTATTCTGTCGCGCAGAGTTATTCCTAACATGGACCGCTTTATTCTTCTCTGCGTGACTCTTAGGTTGGTAGCTGCTGCTTTTGTTAAGGTAAGTGTTTCTGCTCCGTACGTCAAAACTGGGAGGCTGCACTGATCAAATACCTTTCTCTTTAGGCATGTGGGCAGCTCACTTTTAAAAGTTTCTCTCAGTTTTCCAAATGCTGCCCACCCAAGGCCGATTCTTCTCTTCAATTCATGAGTCTGGTTATCCTTGCCAATCATAATTTCATGTCCCAGGTATTTATATCTATCTACGAGCTCTATTTCTTTCCCACCAATACTGATGTTCCAGTTGGATACCAAATTGGTCATGATTTTTGTTTTCGGGATATTTATATTTAAACCTACGTTTTCTGTAGCAACAACGAGTTCCTGTACCATCTCTCTTGCCATACCTAGATCTTCTGCTATTATAAGTATATCATCGGCGAAATGTAAGTTGTTTAGATATTCTCTATCTATTTTTATTTCCTTTGTCATACAATCCAAATTCTTAAAAGCATGTTCTAGCACTGTCTTAAAAAGTTTAGGTGACATTGGGTCTCCTTGTCTAAGTTCCCCCGTTATATTTTCATGCGATTACTGTTAGTATGTAATCTGACAGTGGTTGTTGCCTGCAGGTATATTTTGTATAATAATTTAGTATATCTATAATCTAGCCTGCATTCTTTAAGCGCCTGTAATATTTTGCTTAGCTCAACTATGTCAAAGGCTTTGTGAAAATCGATAAATATTAGAATTAGAGGTTTATTGTATTCCACTGCTTTCTCTATTAGGGTTTTTATGCTTTGTAGATGGTTATTTGTTCCGTAACTTTTTCGGAATCGTGCCTATTCCCTTGGTTGATAAGTCTCTAATTTTCTTTCCATTCTCTTAACTAGTATTCGCGTAAACAACTTATATATATGGCTGAGGAGACTAATCGGTCTGTAATTCTCTAAGTTTGCTTTGTCTCCTGCTTTGTGTAATAGAATCAAAGTAGCGTTGTTCCAGTCTGTTGGAATATTGGCGCTGTGAAGGCAGATATTGAAAAGTTGTTTAATTTTTTCAAGTAATACATCCCCTCCAATTTTTAGTGCTTCTGATACTATTCCATCTTCACCCAGGGTTTGATTATTTTTCATTTTCTTTAGGGCTTCTACAGAGATATTAGCAAAGTGTATTTTTTAAAGTCTGTCGAATTGGTCTATTCTATTGCAAAACACGTTGAAATTATTTCCATATTTTTTGATAATGGATAGTGTGCAAGGAGAGCAGAGAAATTAGTTAATGAATTTTATTAAGATAAGCAACTTTACCACCTATACCTATTCAAACTATTTAAAAATATCAATAAAACGAGATCAATAGTTGATAATTGAATAAGAAAAACTGAATATAGATAATAAAATATAATAAAATAAAAATGAATATAGAAAATAGAATAAAAGAAACTAAACAAAGCAGTTAAACATTTAAAAATGTATATTTTTTCGTTTGTAAAAAGTAAAAAGACCCAATAGACATTTTTACAAATAGCACAACATATGATGCAATCCGGTCAATGTGGTCAGAGATAAAATAACGTTATTTGTTGACAACGATGTTGCTTGCCTATCTTTTTTTACATATTTACAGAGAAGAAAGAAAATCTGCATACAGCCACCTGTGATTTACCCAGGTAGTGTTGAATTCCTAATACCCAAACAAAGTTGTGCCAGGACGAGATGCCCGAGAAAGTTTAATCTTTGAAATTTCGTTCCGTCACATCTCTGAGATGGTCGGCGTACAACTAAAAACCTCTCCTCTGTCACTTCATACATCAACCTAGAAAGGCTGACTAACGCAAAACATCTCTCATGATGCCCTACTATTACCTGATTCCCATTCTTTCCTTCACACATTTATCGGAAAAACCACACACACACGAGCTACAGCTACCAAAGACTTAACCCCCTGCCTTTGACCTATTTCGGCATGTGACCATCCAAATTTTACCGAGATGATACTCGCTTGTTTTAAAATTATAAATAGAGCAGCTTCCTAATAAATTTTTGGATTCTTGTCCATCACCTCTTATCCCTCATCATTTTCTTCACCATTTCTATCACGAAATCAAACATTCTGCAGTTACGCTCTCTTATAAACTTGTATATTTTATCTGCTCAACGCTTGCACTTCAACATCGTGTGTATCACAGTATCTCAGAGACCACAGTAAGAGTACTGGTTGCACTGAGCCCTCCTAAACCTGAAAAGGTAGCTACGATAGCAGCCATTGCCTGTGAGCATTTGCATCGGATAATAATCCACCTGCCTATGTCCACAGTTTACCAGCTTCAAATTTTTGGGATTAGTGACTTCGTCCGCTTTGCTACATCACGTGTCGCATCCCGTTCTTGCAGCAACTAACAGATTGAAAGTAATATCTCGGCCAGTCTTATCTCAGTCATCTCTCGCTCTCTAATGTTTTGCCCTCTACGACTATGAATCCTGGCCCTTTCACCTGCCAGCACATGTAAAGGAACACAGCCAGTGATCACCCATAGGGCAGCAGCTGACACAGTTCTTTACGCACATACTACTCGCAGCAGACTAGTTCTGTCAACTCGTACCATGAGCCTCTTTTAAGATGGTATTTCTGCCACCTCACTCTAGACTGGGGCCGCGTAGAGAACGACAGACAGCACAGCACCGTGAAGCGCCCTTTTCCTTTCGGATTTGGGTCCACTGATATTGAGCATTATCTTCCCGCAGCCATCGTCTGAATAGCTCTACGGGTCAAATGTTCTCCCCTAACTCCCACCCTGGAGGAGAGTAAGATAGTTGACGTCCTTTTTGGACGCCACTCTCGCTCCCGCGTACTTAAAAATAACACTCTCCCTCTTTCTGTAGCCTCTGAGGATTACTGCCTCCGGCTTATCGTCCGCGAGAGAAACTTGTCGGGGAGAAAATGATGGATGGTCTTATGATTAGATCTGACCAACAGAAAAAAGTTTTATAAGACGCTCTTTAACAAACAACGATAAGTACTTCTAGCCACTATGAGTTTTAAGGAGAAAGCGTTTTTCTCAAGGCAATTTGAAAATAACCACTAGATTATATTTCTTCAAAGACTTCTTGTAAAGTTATACGTAGTTTAGAACCTTACAAAAAATCGAAATTAAAATATGCCAATTAAAACTTTATAGATTTTTGGATTGTTATATATTTTAAAATTTATTATTTGTGAATTTAATGAGAAATATTTTATTTTAGGTCGTCCCCCGCCCAAAGTAACTTGGTGGCAAGAAAACGCCCTCCTTGACGATTCTTTCGAGTATTTGTCTGAAAGAAGAGTCCGGAATATTCTTCACATAGATAAACTTGAACGAAAACACCTTCACACCGTGTTTACTTGCCAGGCGTCCAACAATAATCTCGTTGCCCCCATTTCCAGCTCCATCACCTTGGATATAAACCGTAAGTTTTTTTTATTATACGTTTATAATATTTCCTATTTGGACTATTTGCGATATTACATAATATGTGTAGTTTAAATTATTACAGATTTTACAATAAACATCTCTTCTTGAAACGTAAAAAGCATGTATTCGCCATAAGAACATGCACTAGAGAACAATAGATAACAACGCTAAACATAGATATATTAGGCGGAGGCGACACACTATGATCATACTCAGAGCTTTCTACTACTGTTAGCTCCTTTGAAAAGTCTTTTTCTATATTTATCGAGTTTCTCGTGTTCCTAAGCGGCATTGTCTCTAGCCTTGTAAGTTTTTTTCTGGTATTTATAATATTGCCATGGACTAATATGAGTTTAAAATCGCTAAACAGTAGGTATATGTAATCCTAAGAATTATTCAGATTTTGAATTAATTTTACCGTACTTTTTCCTCATCTAAACCCTCCCTGGTCTTCTTCGATACATTCTTTATATTTTATTAATAATTTTTAAAAATATTTGCAATTATGGTATATGTAGTTTTCATAATTCAAATTGCTAAAGTCAAGTGGAATGTTCTTTCGTTTAGTCTTTCGCCATCTTACTTAAAAATCTCAGCTGGGAAACCACATTCTCTTGCCTTTTTATTATTTTTAGGTCTTCTAGTATTTATTTATTTAGAGTTGGTTCCTCCTAGAAGTATTCCGCCCAGAAGTATTCCGCCCATAAGTATTTTGCTCATGTGTTTAATTTTTCTGTAGTTTCTTCTAAAAGTAATCTCTCTTTGTTTCTGCATACTTTGTGTTATTTCATTTGGTTTCAATGGATTTCTTAACTTTTCGGCAGACATTTTTATCACTTTGTTTATGTAGGCATTTTCTATGTTTTTAATTGATTTTCTAGCTGTTCTCTATTCATCCTTCTGCAAATTCTTTTAAATTTCCTTCTTTCCTTTTGGGTATTGCATGTGTCTCTTTGTACTTTTACTCTGCCTCTTCTTGCCAAAACAGTCCTCCTTCATTAATCTTAACAGTCTTGATGTCTGTGTATATGGATTTTTCCTATAGAAAAAATTTATTTAAAAATTTCTTTATAAAAGCTACATAATTAAAACACCCTATCAGGCTACAGCACAGAACTTTTTAGGAATTAATACTCCATCATCAGTGTTATCTAGATGTACTTTTGTTTTGAGTATAGTTTTGAGCCACTAAATACTTGGGTAAAAACCCGTTAAATGTTGTTAAATTGAACTGGAGTTATATTATTTGATCTTTTCTACTAGGATGTTTAAGTTTTACAGGAATTGATAACATGGCAACATAATACTCCACTAGAGGTTGCCAATGTTGCTAAAGTAATGTAAGTTAAATTCAATTTAACAAGATTTACCGGGTTTTTACTCAAGTATTTAGTGGCTCGAAACATGTACACTGATGATGGCATAATAATTCAAAAAACGTTCTGTGATGTAGCCGGATAGGGAGGTTTAATTATATATCTTTTATAAAAAAAAATTAAATAAAATTCTAGTGATGCATGATATACAGCCAGCTACAGGAACTTAGTTTCCTTGTGGATCTTCCAATAGACTTTTCCGGTGCTTCTGATATGGCTGTCTGTATAGTCTGCATTTTTTTCTATTTTCTGCTTGACTAGATTCTCTGACTTGTTATTTGTTTCTTTCTCTAGTTTGCTACTACTACTATATGTTTCTTCTAATGGCACTGTAATTGGTAATTTCATGTTCATACAGCTTATTAAAAAAGTACTGCCTTATTCTATAGACTTTTATCTTAATTTCTATTGTCTAATAATTACTACTTTCTATTGTAGAAAAATTCCATCAAATTAATATTACAAAGATGTAAAGTGTACTTCTGCATAACTTCTAAAATAGATTATTGAATTTTAATAGTTTTATATATCCATAAATTCACAGAAATGTTTACAAACTATTTTCTTAAGTTCCGGTATGTTAAAAAACTTTGTAATAGTTGGTTACCCATTTTATATTACCTCAATGATACTTTGGCTGATTAGTATTGAACATTATTAATTTTTAATACGTACTAAATTTTTATAAATATATACATATTATGTAATGGAATATTTTTGGTAAGAAATGTAAATAAGTGTTGCTACGCTACTGGTAGCAATTAACTTACACTTCATAATCATCTATCGAGGTAAATTTTTCAGCAAATTCTCATAAAAAGTCGAATGTATTGAAAAGATACTTTTACCCTCAGATTAACTTTTTCCGTTAGAAATAATTTAAAAGGTGGGTTTTACCTACCTCTGTATAGAAATATTTAAATTGTCCTCCATCCCCCGCAAATCCCTTTGGCATAAGTCAGACATTGCAATCAGAATTTTAAGTAAGCAGTATACAATTGTATCCCAGCTTAGCGGGTTACTATATGGTTAGAGATTTAACTCTCGCATGTTAGTTAGTGTTAGTTTCGTATTCGATCAAATTCGATGCATTTCGGGTTTAAGTGTTTAGACTCTCGCGTATCGAGTATATACTTCATCTAATTTACATATCGATGCACGTCATCGGCGTCATAACCCGTGACGTCACATGATACCAACACGACATATTTAGGCGGTAGGTGTGTTCTTTTTTAGAATCACTTTGTCGAGTAAACTGGCATTACAGCCACTAGACATATTTTATTTTATACGCGTAGAAATAATATTTAAAGATTTGTATTAATGTTAACTTGAGGAAATACACAATAATATGTTTCATTTAATTTGTATAAATGCATTATAAAGCGTTTTTGTGAAGAACATTTGTTCGGAACACACTGTAACTGTAATCGAACGAAGATGATATTTTGGCATACATTGGTAACACTTATGTGACAGTTGCGGTGTTGACACTTTTTGTACTTTATTATTTTGAATTTTAAAGTGAATACCTCTTGGTTTATATTTTTATCTATTTAATAAAATCTGTTCTTTTTAGAACAAAATTAGTGTGTATTATTAATTACTATTATTATTATTATAAGTTTGTCTAATATTAATTTGTTTTGTTGTATAATCCACTTTTACAATAATTATGTGACCTATTTGATTTATAGTGGATTCAGGATTTTTTTATACTGTGGCAACTATGTCAACTTTGATCTCTGACGTTGATAATGACGTGCAATGGTATATACATTAGATAAAGTATATCTAGTTACTGTTACATAGCTTATAGTTACAAGCTGAACGCTCCTTCTTATTCAAGTATATTATTATTGAAGAAAACATCCTTAGTTGAAGTGATAATTATTAGTAACATTTTAATCTGTATCAGTGCTCGTGTAGTGTGTCACTAGTATAAGGTGGACAGTGATCGGTGGTTTCAATAAAAGAATTTGCGCCAATACTTTGGCAAGATATTAACTTTGCTGTAGTAACATTCAATTATTAAACTACGGAATGTTTAAACTGCTTATCACCTTATTTTCCACGCCACTGGGTGGTCCTTCAAGTTAGAAGTAATTACATGTCCTAGTACGCCTTAAATGGTAACAAGATTGTCATCCTCATTTGTTGAACAAATGTCCGTTTAATTCTACCATGTAATATATAGTATGATAAACTAAAATCCATATCGCTTTTTACATATTACTTTGTGATTTCATAATTTGTTGCCGATATTTATAATAATAGTAATTTATTTATTATAGAATGTATGCTTTTTCTTTCAAAATTTTTATAAAACTAACAATTTTTCTACAAACCGCTTTAGCGTAAATATTTATTATTCTAAATGTAATCAATTTATTTTCGACGTATTAATATTTTTAAATTGAACATTTTCCATTCATAAATTGGCAATATTTTTGGCAAACTTACCGCAGTAACTTCACCGGTACATAAAGAATAATGCAACGTGACTGAGATTCCAAAGGAACCGAGCTACTAACTTCGATGATTGGTAGGCGAGTCCGTGATCTAACAAGTCCTCGGAGACCAGTCGAGTCAGGAGTCGGTGCAATTACAGAATGACATGTATATTGTGCTGAGAGTAACCTCCTTAAGATATCCTTGTATCGCTGTGAGGAAGAATTCCGCTAGGAATTGTTTATATCCTCCGAGTACACGAAAGCAAATTCTAGGTGTTTGGATTAACAGCGGTTGAGCGGTCTTATAGGGGTTAGCTGGTTATTGATGTTTATGTAGTTGAGAGTACAGTTGAAATGTTTAATAATATTGATGTCAAGGTGGAACATTAAGACGGAAATCTCGGCAACGCCGAGTCGTTGACAAACAAACTTCATCAAATTATCATATTTTACTGTGGAGTAAATCATTTTATTAAAAATAAACATGTAGGATATTCTAAAATTTTAGTTATGGAATTTAGTTTAATTTAGGTAAAAATAAACCTGAAAAGTGTAAAGTATAGTGTGTACATAAAATGCCTTTGTTTGTTTAAAAATATTCAAGTTCTTCTTTTAATAATAACCCACAAAACCAATCATTTTTTTGAAGATCTACAGAGATACTTAATACGACTGACGGCTTGTGGCTTTAGAGACAAGGTCGGCAAGGTTTCTTGTCTCCTTAGATAGGTATACCCTCTAATAAAAAATTTCAATCATTACAGGAGATTTTTTGTTTTTTTTTTTCATCGTAAAATTTATTAGAATCTTGGAGAGATTTTAAAAGCTTTTTTTCTATTGACATTTGAGACAAGCTTGACATTCTCTCTTGTTTCATGGTGTTTCGACAATACGTTTTGATTCTTTTGAGACAAGAGATCTTGTTAATTTAAGGCAGAAGTCGGTGGTAATGAGAGAATTAATGACAATAATTTATTAATTTCGGTAACAATTTGTTGTAATGAATTGTAGTATATAAAAGTATACATATCTTGTAACTTCTCTTACCTTCCGAAAATATTTGGATCAGCAAATAAAACTTTTAATTCATTTTCTAATTTTATTTTATTAAAAAATGATAGATAATTTTTAATCAACCTATCTAATAAATATCTTGGAAATTCTTTGGCGTAACTTTTAAATTTTAAATCATCAAAGAGGTCAAAATAATAATAGTATCTAAAATTTCAAAATATACTCGTTTCTCGGGATTTGTATCTGTTTCATGCCTTTGTCTTTT